CTTCAACCCTTGTTGAAGATCAGCTGGTGCATTACAGGGACCTTCAGTCTAGCTGTGTATAGCTTTCCCTGTATTTTTATACTGGACACTGACAATGTGTTGGGAGATGAAATGCACACATTCTAAGCCAGGCCTCACTTCTTCACCCATGTGTTATAAACAACTCAGACTCCAGGCGGGAATGAGTAAATAAAATTTAATTAGAACCCATTAAAGTTACAAAGCAATAAGGGGGACAGCACCAGGAACACAGTGACACTTTCTGTTCACCAGGGGCTCAACTCACAAAATGGCGTCTCCGCCTTTTATACCCTCAAGGTGGATCAGTTACGTTATTATTCATAAGCAGTTCTTATATGTCCTCCTGGCACTTCCCACAGTCCTTGGCTTTGCCCATATATGTATACTTGGCTCGTCCTAGGCGTCATCCGTGGCATCATCCTTGTAGGTACATTTGGCTCCTCCCAAGGTCTGTCAGTCAGTCCTCCGTGCCCTTCGTTGATGGAGCCCCTCTCACATGTTGATCGGTGGTGAGGTGTTACCCTGCCGAGCCTCCCAGCAACAAGTATCCCCTACTCGCTACTTCCTCCTGGGAGGGGCAAGTGTACGTCCCCCAGCATGTTAGGACAGCCCTGTCAGCCAGAGCTGCCAGGCAGTAACTACGAAAGGGGAAGGGGAAGATTGAAGAGAGAACAGAAAAGGGTTCAAAACCAAACTGGAACAAGAGTACATGTCAAAAGAACTATAAACCTTAACAAAACTTCTTCCCACCATACTTAATAACTCCTCCTCATCTGCATGAACCAATCACTGCACCATATTCATAACACATGTCTGGGCTCTGTGTTTGACAAGCTGCACAGCAGTGTCATACACCACAGATCTTTTCTGGAGACTGAAGCATTGGCTTCTTCTTGAGGAGGTGGCCACAAGAAATCAAAAGCTATCACAGCAGGAGATGCGGGTAGTTATGCCACATGATGGGTCCTGCTGCTGCTTGTCTCCACACCCATTCCACACCCAGCATTTGTCGTCATGGCTGGGCATGTGAGTTGATCTTTGTGATATTCTCTTCCCCAAAAAAGCAGTTAGAGGAGTGAAGGTCCTTTGGATATCCAGCGTGCTTCTCTGTTCAGATTTATGGTCATTCCTGTAGCCTTGACAATACATTTTACCCATCTGCTTTGCTGTGAAATGCCTGGACTCCCTTTTTTGGGGTGTCATGGTGGTACAGAAACTGAGGGCAGCCCAGATTTGTTCTGCATGGTTGTCCACAGGCCTTGAGCAGAAGTTGCCTATCCAAACACAAACAATTCACTTTTTTATGACTCTCCATTTTGCTTCTGTCACCAGAGAGTAATCCTGGCCTAGGAGGGCTCTCCCACTAGTGAGAAGGAAGGAGAATGCAACTTTCTTTGTGCTTGTCACAGTTTGTCCAGAAACAGTTTACATCAGTGAGCTAAATAATGTGCTTACACTGAAGAAGTCTCAATCTGGGGTAAAATCTGCCCCAGCACTGTGCAATGACTTCCATCATTGCCCTACAAAGCCACATGCTTTTGTGTTTCCCTTCCCAGCTGTTTGCAGAGATGGCAAGGCCAGTGCTGGGCAGGACATGCAGAGATTGTTTCTATTGTGGTCCTGGCTTTCCTATGGATCTGCTGATTTAGGAGTTTGTACTACATCACCCCTGTGGTGTCCAAACTGTCTATTAACAAGGCTTTGATAGGGGAGAGGATTATGTGCAATCTAACAGAGCAAATCCAAGCTGTGTGGTGCTGCTGCAGGAGTGTGAGCCCGCCTCAGGGATTAAGCAATCGGGGGAGCGGGCAATGGTTGGGCACTGAGCACTGCGCCTGTAATTACTGTACCTGTAATGACATTCTTGTCCTCAATCTATTGCCCTTGTAGACCCAGGTAAAGAATTAACACACTCTCTCTTAATGTTCTGCACCTGAGAGATTCATGGCTCCTTTCGAGGCTTTGCACTGCCCAAGACACACATGGGGTGCCCATCAGAGGCTGCCCAGGCTCAGTGGGCATATAATCCATGCTGCAGATGGAGATAATTTCCCAGGCTTGTTTATTCCTGCAGGTCTAGGTCAACAGCTTTGCAGCTCCTGACACTTCCAGCAAAACCTCCACCTGCAGTGAAGTAGTCTTCTGGACCAGCTCACTTTCCCACAGCAGATGCATCAGATGCTTTTCTTTTTAACTACATAAAACAAAAGAAGGAGTTGGCTGTTCGGTTTCTATTAACGTTTTCTTTCTAATGTAGGTATTTCAGTAAGATAAAACATTTTCATGGGAAAGGAAGAAAAATACTCTTTACAAAGAAATAGCCTGTATTTTTAATTGTCTGCCATACTGATGAATAAGTATGAATCTTCACTGAAAATATTTTCTGAAGTAGTTTCAGCCCACGTCATGGGGTTTGTTAGAAATAAATAAAAGTTCTTGAGAAGCAAATATTGTGATATGTCCCTAGATACCTTTACAAAAATAAAATCTGTCCCAGAAAATTCTGTGAATGTCTTTGTAGAAGACATTTGTCTGGCGTGAGAGCTAAAGAGTGTCGCAGTGAGGGTGGCTGCAACAAACTTTGGGGTCCTCTGATTTCAGGGCAGAGGGTGGCAAGAAAAATGAATAGGAGCAGGAATTATGGTTGGCACCAGGAAAATAATGCTTTAATAAAGAATGAAAGAAAATTGGGACAATGCCCAAAGCCCAGCAGTAACCAGGGAGAGAACTCCTTTGGGGGATGACCAGCCAAAGACAAAAACAAAGGGAGGCACAACAATATATAACCTTAGGGAACGAACATTATAGTAGCTTAACCATATAGGGAGCAACACTATTCAGTCTGTGACTGACACGTAACTTAATTAACATAATAACAGAGGGATATCTTGGGAGAGACTTTAACTCGGATGAAAGATTCCCATGGCTTCAGATAGATAGGGGACTCTTCCAAGGCAATAGTTAGCTGGCTTGTGCCTCCAGCCAGGTTGAACTCCACAGAAGAGTAGATGGAACTAAGCATGAAAGAGCCATGCCAAGTTTGATGAAATGTAAGTTTAAGTAGTAGAGATTCACTGGGGCTTTTTATTATTGTTTCTGTTTAAACTATTTAGAGTGGTATTGGTAGTTTCTCAGATGATAAAGGCTATCATTGTAGTGTGACAAGCACAGCCATTCTTGCCTTAAATAAATAGGAAGTGTTGTTTCCTTTCTTCCAACAATTTTATAGAAAAAAAATACTAGTTTTTATGACAATACCATTCCTTTTATTAGCTTTTTCATGCAGTGTTCTGTGATATTTATTTATAAACATTATGGTCAGATGTTCTTTCTTTTGACATGTTATACCATTAAGAAAAACAAACATTTGTTAATGTATCATCTGTAAAATAAGGTAAGTCTGTGAAAGACCTTATCACTCTCTACAACTTCCTGAAAGGAGGTTGCAGTCAGGTGGGGATTGGTCTCTTTCACCAGACAGTAACTGACAGAACGAGAGGACACAGCCTTAAGCTGCGCCAAGGTGAATTTAGGTTGGACATTAGGAAAAAGTTCTTCACGGAAAGAGTGATAAAATACTGGAATGGTCTGCCTGGGGAGGTGGTAGAGTCACGATCCCTGGATGTGTTTAAAAAATGGCTGGATATGACACTTGATGCCATGGTTTAGTTGAGGTGTTACGGCATCGGTTGGACTCGATGATCTTGAAGATCTCTTCCAACCTTGTGATTCTGTGAAATGATGTCAAATGAGTGAAGCTGAGCTGAAGCACTGCTTCTCAGCTCTGGATGTATCACTTGATGAAAGAGATGCACCATTGTAGACAGTCAAAGAAGTGATGAAAGTGATGAAAATGTCCATTTTGAGGAATCTGAAGGAGCTGTGGTTGATTAACATGGAGGCTAAGGTGTCAAGCCCAGTGAGGATGGCTGCAAAGGGGTAATTCTTGTGTTAGCTAGGATGGGCTGACACCTATCAGGGAGATCAGGGGTGCTTCTTGCTGACAGCAAAGCACTGAAATAGGTGGCCTGAAAGGGCTGAGGATGGTATTCTCAAAGGCACAGATTAGAGACTAAGGGTGATACAAACTTTGAGATTAGGGAATGGGCCTGATGACCTTCAGTTCACGTTTGCCATGAAAGCTGGGATTTATTAATTTTTAATGTTCTGACTCCCAAGGCTGTGGCTTTGGAAGAAATAGCAAAGTATTATAAAACCCACAGTCACTTGAAAGGTTTGGCAACGGTAGAAAAATTGAATGAGGTAGAAACTACCTACACGGACAGGAGCAGAACTTTTCCTCCCTCAAAGGTGTGCCTTACTGCCCTCAAGTTGGCCAGGAGAGAGGAAAAGGAAGTGGCAAGGCTTGATTACCCTTTCCTCCATGCCCTGCAGCCTCTGGCCATTTTTGCGGTCTATTGAAACACAAAATGATCTGCACCAGTAGTGTTTGAATAGCAAATATCAGTGCAGCATAAAGAAAAGGGCACAAGTATTAGAAAATGAGCAGCCTCTGGTATTTCATAGCATAACATGCAGCAGAAATGCTTGCAGGTTGCTGTTCCATCATTTTCCAATTGGCTGCTTATCCTTTAGTCTCATTTAAGGCACAAAGAAGTGAGAATAAGAAGAATGTAGGTAAAAAGCAAGCAAGCATTTTGGTAATTTATATGCATATTTAATATTTTATATTAAATAATATAAATAATCTATTATTATTATTGTTATTATTATAATAATATGCGTATTTTGCTTGTAGCATGCTGAATCAACTGTTTACCTGTTAGTAGGAAAGGGCTAAAATAAAACATTGTCTTGTTAGATTAATAGCACATGAGGAGCTCTAGGACAGGGAGGAAAGTAGGGCAACTTGTTTTGGAACTTGTGCTGGAGAACAAATAAAAACCCCCAATGTACACATTTGGTTACCATATGTCATGCTTATCATAAAAAGGCATCTCAGTGCTATTTCTTTTCAGGAATGCTTGAACTCCACAAAGCAGACTCCCCTGTTGAGGAGAGTGCATGCCAGAGGTGCTGGGGTTGCCATTGGTGAGATGAGCTTTTGTGCCTGTTGAGGCAGCTCCGGTGGGCAGCAAGAGTTCATTCCTTCCAGTGCTTCCCTCTGTGGATGTGATTGACGTTGGCATCTGGATTGCTGCAACTGAAGAAGGAAAGCAAAGGAGCCTAATTTTGCTGAGAGAATTTTCCTGGCAGGGGAAGGTGGACAGTGCAGAGAGATGTGCCAGCCAAGAGCCTGGAAGTGCAAGTCCAGGTGCTAGGGCAAGTTTCACCCAAGCCATGCTGTGGTGAATCCTTTCTCTCCAGCAGCAGCTTGCTCAGCACCAGGGTGGCTGTGAGGGGCTGCCCATGGCACTCAGGCAGCCTCAGCTGGATTAGTGCCTGCTCTGTCTTTGCTTAAGCCATCTGAAGAACTGAAGAAGATTGTAGGGAAGATGTTGGACTTGAGCTTCCTGACCGAAGAGGAGTATGAAAAGCTGATGAAGGTTCTGCAGAGAGATGCAGAGCTGAAGAAGAAGGATGGAGATCGCATCAGGTGAGAGAGCTTGTGATAGCAGGATGTGAGCTTCCCTTGGGGAAGATTTTTTCACTTCTTTGAGAGAGGAGAGCGTGTGTGTGTGTGAACAAGGTGAGGTGCAAGTTGCAGCAGTACTGTCCCTTTTGCTCAGATCTTTATAGATCTTTTCATTGTACCTTGTCTTTCTCAGCCATCCTTCTGTTGCTGGTGTCCTCTCCTTGCGGGAGTGGACTCTCCTTTTGAGTTAATCATCAGCCCTCAGAGATGCCAAGGGCAATCATCCCTTTCCTGTTCTGTGGAGGAAGGCGCTGGTTTCTTGGTGGCAGAGGTCTGAGCAGAAGTAGCTGCTATCTTGTTTTACTCACTCAGTAGCACAGAAAGGCCATAGTCTGTTTTAAAATGAGATTTTACAAAATGAGATTTTACATCCCCTTCCCTGTTTTATATTGCCCCATTGCTTTTTGAGGTGGGTGTATGTGCACCATCTATCATAAACAGGGAGGCGATTAGAGGCTACATGATCTGCCAGAGGTTTGCGGGTAGCTGTTCCAGACTCAGGGATTCTTGCTCAGCTCCTCTGCCACTGGCCATCCTGGAGCTCAGGTCTGGTTGATCAGGATTGCTTGTTGCTGTTGTTGCTTTTTAAATGCCAACCATTAGACCAACTGGGCATACATGACGGTATGCTCCAGGCTCAGGGAGCTGGCACCATATTCTCCATGGCAAGAAATTAGTAACTCAGTGAGTGTGGATGGCACTGTGCCAGTTTACTCCAACTAAGGATGTGAGTCTTCAATTTGCTGCTGAGCCAAATAAAAAGAGTGAGCCCTGTATAGAAAGGATGCTCAAGGCTTGAAGGGGGAGCAGGAAGCTTTGCTGCAGGCTCCTGGGAACCTGTGTGCCCTGGCCACTGCTTGGAGGTGGGAGCTGGGAAAGCCAGAAGCCTGGACTTGGGGTGTATGTGTCTGCATGCTCTTACCTCTCTGAATTGAAACAATTTCAAAAAGGTTTGTTTTTTATTTATTTTGAGTTTTGTTTGTTTGTTTCTGAAATGGAGTAAATTTCTCCTCTGAAGTGGAGATTTGGTAAAAAGAGTGTTGGGATTATTTTGGTTTTGTTTGACTTCTCTTTGACAGCTATTGCACAGGAGGCTTTGATTTGGGAGTGAGGTGAATTAGATCCTGCCCAGAGCTCCTTGCTGTCAGTTTGGCTGTAAGACATGGTCAGTAAGACATGTTTGGTTTCAACACAACCTGCCTGCTGGGCAAAATGAAGTCAATGGCATTTCCTTGTTCTGCTGTCAGGGTGATTAAAATATCTATTTCCTCTGGCCCAGCACCTCGAGACCCTCATGGAGGCAGTGCAGCCCTGGTCTAGATGGGAACTTCTGTTGGATCCCCAGCATGGCCTGCAGGGGCTTGAATCCAGTTTTCCCTTCTCCCTCCTGGCCTTTAGGCAGCCAAATGTGACCCCTCAAGGTTCCAGGGTTATCTGAGGGGTTTTCCCCTTTTCCTGCTGACAACTGGGCTGAAGTGGCAGCTTCCTCTGGCCTCTCAGGTTTCACAGGGACCCTGAACTGAGGTGAGTTGTGCCAGCTGAAAGGCAGCTAATTCAGCAAGCCATGGTGAGGAGGGTTAGAGTATGGGCTGGCAACAGAGCCCTGACTGGTTTAGGTGCCAAAAACCAGACCTGGGTGTGCCCAAGCAAGGTACAGTAGGAGAAGCCGTGCTTAGGAGGGAGAGCTAACCATGTGAATGCCAAAATAGGCATGGCAGGGGGAGTAGGGAAAGGAGCAGTGTGCAGGGAGAATGCTGAAGGGACTGGTTGCTTCCCTAAATACCATTATGTATTTCCGTGGTTTGCAGCAAATTTGATCCAAAAGGTTTTTCTGCTCATAAAAAGATTAATAGGCAAGTAAAATGGAGAAGTGCATGACAGATAAACAGCCCCACCCCTTCCTTAACCCTTAGGGCAGACAAGCAGGTGGACAAACCTTGTCAGGTGAATGATTTGGATTTGTGAAATATGGAAGAGATGAAAGCCTGTGTTTAAGAGGTGCTGTTCCCATTTCAGATAAAAAATAAATCAGCTGCTGTTTTAATGCTGGTTTGGCTCTTGTGCTTGCAGAGAATAATCTCTGGATCCTTGTAGTGTCAGACAGGTGAGCTAATGGACATATTACAAAGGTAGCTCAAGGGAAGTTGAAAATTTGAAGATCTTTTTGGTGTGTAATGCTTGCACTGACTTTCAGGCGGATACAAGGCTCCATCAAGGATGAAAAGAAGAAGAAGTTTGTGACAGGTGAATGGTTTTCAGAAGTGAAGGCAAAACGGTTTCAGGAAGACTTGGAGGGGCCTGATCTACTTTGGGCATCAATTAGAAGGAAAAAGGGCAAACTAGAAAGTAAGTATGTTAGTGTACATCTTAAGAAAACAAATTGATGGACCAGAAAAAAACTTGGTTCAGGATGGAGTTTCTCTGTACTGGGAATCTGTTGAGAACCAGTCCCTGTGTTGTGAAAAGGGGATTCTCATCTGTGTTAAACAAGCAGGACTGTACTTAGAGTCCAAATGTAACTAGCCTGAAGCTGGAACTTTGTGCTGAACATCTGTGCAAAGCAGAACTGAGGATGATTCACATCCAGTCCTCAACATGAGGACAGGCCAGCCACCCCTGCAGCCCAGTGTCACACAACCTCCTGGATGATTTGTCAGGGTGGGCAGTCACAGATCCTCAGCCATGGCTGGGGAAGTTACCAGCTGCTGCTGCCCTGGGGAAGCCTTGGCCCTGACAGGCAGCTCTGAGCAAAGCCTGCCACTATCTCTAACATAAGGGCCCCATGGTTTGGGTCTTTTCTTTTGCAGTAAAATTGCACTCAAATGTTATCTCCAGCAGTTCAATTCAGCCATCATTCCTGGGCCCAGCTTCCCATTCCTGCCGGGAGGAGCGGCAGTATAGATCACTCCTTTGTTTGGTGAGCCTCCTTAGCCAGGATGTGTCTGTAGCAGGAATTGCCTGGATTTAGGGTACCCTTCCTTGCTCCACGTTACTTAGACACATTCTGAAAGCTAAATGCTGACTGAGAGCCTCATTTTTTTTGCTCTTTACCTACCCCTGACAGCTCTCATAACTTAGCATAGATTGATTGGAGCCTCTAATGCAGAACTAGCCCATCATATTTCATATGAAGTTGCTTTTATCCTTGGTATTATGGATTCATGATGTCATTAAATTTATTATTTTATAATATCTCCAGAATGCTAAAACATATAAAACATTTTCCATCTTGGCAAAGGTGCCTGGCTTTTCTGCAGAGCATGTTCTTCTTCTTAAGGATGTGCATTTGTGCTTGCACTCTCTTGACATGAAGGCGCAGAGCTTCAGCAGCCTCTCTGCCAGGGCCTAGGTCAGGCAAATGCTCTGTCACCTGCAGCCCAGCTACCAGCCTGCAATGAATAGGATTGTCTGACCTTTGCCTTGTACTCTTAGCTCTCTGCCCACTTCAGAAAAGCAATACTGCTTGAAGTACTGTTGGTTTTAGATTTAACTTTTAGGGCTGATGTGCACCTATCAGATGATGTCTCAGGTCATCATATAAAATAATCTCATTACTAATGCAGCAAGATACTTATTGCATATGCATTACTTGACTGATGCTGTTTTAAGAAGGAGGAAGCAAATGTTATTAAATTGCTATAATAGTTATGTCTAGATTCAGCCTTTATTCCTTTTCCAACTTTTTTTCCCCTTTTCCCTCTATATGTGTTCTCAGACTTATTTTTATAAAACACAGATATAACATGTGACTTTATTCCTTCCTCTTATTTTTTCCACTGCCATTTTACATCACTGGTTGTGCATCAAGATTCTGCAGCTAATATATTCACCTTAAATGAGTTAAGTTCCTTTGCTTGCCTTTTTTCCTTCCTCTGGAAAGATCAGTCACCCACCTCTGCTTGCTTTCAAGGTGATGAAGGGGTGCATGTTCATTTAGTCAAACCTGTGTTCATAACACCTTATTTAAGTCTTTAGACTTAAGTCTGCGTTAGGGAGTGAAATGAGAAAATTCCTGCATGGGAAAGCCCCGCTGAGATAATTGTTGGCACTCCTTTTGCAAGGTAAGTGGGCTGAGGAGGGGTGGAAATTTGTACTTGCAAAGGAAAATTCCCAGTGATCTTTTCTGAAGGAGGGTTTTAGCCTTCAGAAAGGAGGGTTGTGGGGATCCCTAAGGATTTTCATGGTTGGTATGGATTGTAGTAGAAAACACTAGTCATTGACAGTAATACAAATCTATAAAACAGATAGATACCCTGTATTTAAACTACAGCCTGCAGAACAGCACAGATGAATTTGATAACTTCTTCTTGTTCTTAAGTGCAAGGGCTAAAAATCACCTACGAGGAGAGACCATTTTATCCACTTGCTGTGGCAAGTGATACCTGATGCACAGTTAGTTATGAATATCCCACTAAGAATCTTTGTTTTACAGTGGTAGGAAATGAGTAAAAGTGTTAGAGCAGGAGTGCCTGTCAATTTTATACACATGTATAAAAATACATGTATGGGCAAGTTAAATTGGTCAGGCCACTCCTAATTTCTGTTGGAATTTGCTTCTTATATTGTCTCATCCTAAAGTTAGCAAAGTCATATCTTGCTTGTCTTGATTATAATGCACTAAACTATTTGTGGTGATAGGAGCCAGGTGCAGCTGTGTCACTGGCTGAGCCATTTTTCAGGACAGGGATTTTGATGTGAAGACTTGCTTTTGCCTCTGCCAGCCAGCAATGAAGAGCTCTTCTAGGGTGAAGTGTCAATGAAGAGCAAGTACGACAGTGCCTTTGCAAGTGGGATGAGAAATGAATGCAGTCTTTGGTTGTCAAGGTCTTTTCAACCATGACAGGCAAAGGGTAAGCTTGGGAGCTGTTTGGTTCCTTTACTTCCAGCACAGCTACCTGCTGGCGCCTCCCTCTCCCAGGTCTGAGGCAGAAGAGGAGGATATGGCTCACTGTATAAATAAATCTCAGTGTGTCTTCCTGTGCCCACACGTGCCATAGCCTGCACATGCCACCAACCATGCCTTGGGTTCTCTCTCCTAAAACAATGTTCAGTGATGCTTTGTGCACATCAGTGTTGGCATGGGCAAAACAGTCTCTCTCTCAGAAAAATGTGCTCTAAAACTGCTTGTTCCTACACAGCCAGACTCTTGTTTTTCAGCAGGAGCAACTCCCTGACTTCCCTCTGCTGTGGAAACCATGGGGCCTCCCAGCTGCCACCTCCCATGTGTGCCAGACATGCTGCCATAATGCAGACAGCTCTGAGCAGTGGCTGCTGTGTCCCTGCACCTCAGGGCCAGGTGCTGGGTGGGCAGGAAGATTGGGAATGCAGCATTTTTCTCCATAGGAATGCACAGGCAAGGGGGAATGAATCTTGGGATATTTCTGTGACTTGCAGGCTGACTGTGCTAATGCTGGATGGCACCATACAGGCAGTGTTGAGTCTTGAGTCTTCTCACCATAGGACTGGCCTGCTCTTTGGCCTCATGTGGTTTTCCAACCAGATAACAAGCAAGGTTTTACTATTTTATATTACTTCTGAATCCTCTGAACTTCTTTTTCTCTTGTATTGTTTAACTAAATATATCCTTAAATGGTGTGGCAGTTCTTGTAACAGGTAGATTTTCTCTTTTAAATAGACCTAGCTGCATGAATAAATACGTGCAGATCTTGTTGACCAGACTAAGCTTAGGTTTTATTCACTGCTTGAGAGTTTAATCCTTTTGATTTTACAGTAGCAAGAAAACCCAGTTGCTAACAAAATATCTAATGCAGCATTATACCCTGCTGTCTGCTGTAAAAGTTACTGTTTTTTGTTTTTAATTGGGGGTCTTTGGGAACTTAGAGGACACAGCTGGGCCTTGTGCCAGTAAAAATAACATTGTCTCATTAACTGAATTGGCCTCCTTATTTGTTTGCCAAGATCAGATGACTTGAGTCAAAACAGGAAATGGCTGAATTTAAATCCTGGAATTGATTAACTTTATTGACATTCAATGGCAGTGTCCTGTGGAGGTTTCTGGTGATGCGACAGCTCCTGGCACGAGTTAGGCATTGGGTACCTTGGACCTGTGGGGTCTGGAAGTGCCTTTAATGCCCTGGGGGCTCCCTATCCTTGGGGAGAGCAGGCAGAACCCCTCTGCTCTTAAACCCCTAGGGGTTGTGCTGGTGGGACTCTTTTTCATTGGGCAAAGCATTTTCTTACCCCAAACAAAACGCACCAAACATTACAAGTTTAATGAAATGTCATTTCTCAGTTGTCTCTGTTGTATTACAGATGAGGCCAGCAAGCACATCCAGATGGGTCTGGAAAGCAAAGCTGCCCCAAGTCCTGTGTTTCCTGAGGATGTTCTTGATGCAGGAGAGGGAAGGTAACACTTGTGTGTGTGGCAATGCTCAGGCTGCTGCTCTTACTTATAATGAAAATTGAATGCTACCAATTGAACCCTGGTCTCTGAGTTTCTGAGACTGTATAAATAATAAGTTTGATAGGATATTTTTTAAGTCCTTCCTCCAGGAATTGTCAGAATATCAATCCACCCCTAATAATCAAGCGCTAATGTGCTTATCCCACAAAGGTATTTTCCTGCTTGATTTGATAAGGGATGAGTAAAATGGAAGCTGTCTCTAATGTCAGGATATGCTGGCTAGTTTTTCAAGGTAATTATGGTTTTATTTGTTTAATTTTTACTATGGAGCAACACTAACAAAATGAACTGTTTGAGGAAACTGCTCATTTCCTGTTGGTGCCAACCTCTGTCCAGCGCTCAGCACTCCATCAAGGCTTGGTAGGATTTCACGTTGTGCTGACTGAGCAGAAACGTCTATTCTAAGCACTCCAATGAGCAAGTCAGTGACCTTGCTCAATATCCATGGACTATGAAAAAGCAGTTAAAATATTCACATATTCATATATTTTTTTCCCATCTCATTTGCCTTTTTTTTGTCAGCAGAATGAGGAACCATTTTCCACAGGTGGCAGTTGCTCCAGTTAAATATAAAATATGGGCCTTCACAACAGTTGGAAGCCTCTTGCAGCTGATTAGTGGGTGTTGTTTAATGAAGGATCCAGAGGCAACAGGCCCTAGGTGCTCCTGCTTTGCTGGCACAACACCCAATGGTTTTTTCGTTGGGGTTGGTTAAATCCTGAAGATCTAGCTTTGTTTTCCTCATTCAGTTTTAAGCAAGGTGTGTCCTGTTTCTTCCTGGGCCATAGCATAGGAATGTCTCTCCTTTCTGCCTGGCCCTTGGGCTCTTCTGACACTTCCCAGAAGGGGAAAGTCTGAATAAACCTAGTAGTTAACACACATTGTTTTTACTGAGCAAGTTCTGCATCTGAGCAGAGCTGAGGTGATGTTGAAGACTGCCTGAGTACCCAAACAGGCACATCATTACCACAGACCTCCTTGTTCAGGCATTTCTCCTCTCCCACAGATCCAGCACACCTACTCTTGACACCACAGAGCAGAAAATTTTGCCAGGACTTCCTGTCCAGTTGTCTGCATCATACAAGGTAGTACAAGCACAGCCTCTGCACTTTGTTGTGTTACTCCTTGGAGCTTCACACAGTCACCTACTGACAGAGGCTCCACAGGCCGCCTGCCCTGGTGTCTCTGCTCAAATAAAATACATTTTTTCCAGTCCTTACAGTATTTATACACTGATAGATTTATTTTCTTTTCTGTTCAGAGATCCAGCATCCATGATGTTTTTTCCTCAGAGAGTGACACTGGAACAAGTCCATTTGTGGCTGCAACAAACAGCTTTCATTTGTCTAGAAAAGGTAAGTTTTTTGTTCAGTGAGCTATTGGTGTTTTTTTTACTCAACATCAAACACCAAGAGACAAGATGCTTTTCAGTGTGCGTATAAATAAATAAATAACAAAGAGTACCTTGGCATATAAGAATGGGCTGCCAACACTTTGTGAATTACAGCCAGGACAGCAGGGACCAAGGCAGAAAGCAATCTGATGACTGAAACTTCTCTGGGCTCTCAGTACATATTAAACTGAGTGCTTGGCTCTCAGCTCTTTAATACAAAAGAGGACTTACCCTGTCTTTCTGGCTGTATAGTGTAGTTTTGGAACATAGCAAATAGCTAATAGGGAAGATGTCAAATTGAAAGGGAACCTGCAAACAAATCCACAACTTGCAGCAACAGTTGTGCTCAGTGTTTTTTTTCTGTGCCCTGTTGCAGGGAGAAGGACTGGGGTTTTCAGGACTTTCTTCAGATGGAAGGGAGCTTTCTAGAGTCTGAATATGGAAAATAACTAGGAATATATTGATGATTTCTGAAAATTTCCCCATTTGCTCATTGAGAAATTGCAGTCCAATCTGGGGGGATTGTATGTGATTGGACAGGCTCTGAGCATTTGTTGTTGTTGTAGGTCATGGAGTATCTCCATTATTCGCCAAGCTTTCAGAGGATGCTGTGCCTCAGCCCAGTACTGCAGCTGGAGGAGAAGCTGTTGATGGGGCCACTGTCACTACAGAGGGGCAAAAAACTCCACCCAAAGAAACTTATGCTCCCAGCAAAATACCAGTTACAAAGAAACCAAGCAGAACCTTCCCCAGACCTCTGCCCACAGAAGGGGAAAGCAGCTGGGCTGGTAAGCGAGGCATGAACTACACGATCTCATTGATGAGTAACAGAGAGGAGGATATCGGCCTTGACCGTGAACACTTCAAGAACTTGAAGAACTTTTGGGAGAAGGGAGCAGACTCAGTGGCAGTGGGGAGCATGGCAGCAGAGCCAGTCTGGGCAGAGGCAGACAGTTGGGAGTTCAAGCTGTGCCACTTCCTCTCTGTGCAGTCTGGGAAAGGCCAGGATGCTGATGAAAAATATGGCGCCTTCATCAAAACAAGGACCCCCTACAAAAGGACAATCACGTTGTCTTCTAGTGAGGAGGGGCCAAGCTATGCCACTTCTGCAAGGAAGGGCTCAGTTTCCATCACTCCCAGATCCACTTATGCCAAGAGCAAAGGCGGCCTGGTTAAAAGAAATGGCTTTCTGAGTGAAAGCAATGGGAACCTGCTGATGCCAGAGGAAGAGAAGAGGGTGCAGCACTGCTCCAGGAAATCCAGACTGCCTGTGCGAGCACTTTCCACCCAACTCGAGTCACCTACCAAGGATGTGTCTGGGAGCACACTGGTGCCAGGGACGGCTGCAGAGGAGCTGGTTGTGGCAGAAGTGCACAAGCCCACAGTCAAGTCTCTGGCGAGCAAGGTGCAGATACTGATTGAGCCTGTGCTCACAGATGGTGGAAGTGATGATGAGAAAGAGGAAAGATCTGATTTGGGTGAACCATCTGGAGAGAGAGAAGCTGTTCAGGGAACAGACTCAGCTGTTTACTCAGGTACTGAGGGCTGTGACTGTATCCTGTGAAATCCAAATAGAGAGCCATCCCTAAGCCTGTTTTCTTCCCTAACCCTTCTGCATTTTGCACATTTTCTTAATCTGTCCATTTCTTCTATATTGCAATTTGTATGGAGTTAGCTTGTGTAGAATATGTTCCACAAACAGCTCTAGAAACAAATCTTGTGTAGCCTAGTCCGAGTATAGAAGGGGACAGTGCCATGTTCCCTTGCTTTTCTCCCCACTCCCAGCCCCTGTGCCTTACCTGCAAGCACCTTACCTTGGGACAGTCCTGCACTACCTACAACACGTCACAGGAGCTCACTTTATTTCACTCACTGGCAAGATTGTATTTTCTTCAAATGTGGGACTGGAGGAATTCTTTGTGGTAGTAAAGATAAGTCTAAAAGAAATAGTAGAAATGTGAAGCAAAGTGCTCAATAAATACACTGGATCTTAGAGTACCTTGATAGAGCCACTGGCTGTCAGTGCCTAAATGACGTTTTGTGTCTTTTTGGAATGCACAAGGGACCTTCGATATTAAACTTTAAGCAAAGCAGACAAGGAGTCTGATGTTTCTGCGTTCTGATGCCATGTTTTCAACCAGGATGGTGCCAATCACATCACCATTTTAGCAGCCTCTTCCTCTGGGCTTGATGGGCTCTTGTAGTGACTATTATTATGAGAAAATGTTATTGTTATTTGCAACTCACTTTACATTTGGGCTCTGATTACCCACAGCTCTGCTCTCTTCCAAGCAAGGACCTATGAAGAGAGAGCATCTTACCTTCTTTTTCTAAATGTTCTGTCCTCATGTACCTAGGTAAGACCTGTTTGTGAGGATTTTCCACAGACTCATCTGTTTTTTATTTTTTAATTGTGTAATTTCTTGGTTTATTTCCTACCTCGTATAACATTCCTATGAAAATCCAGAGTTGCACTTCAGGTCATTGCAAATATTTTCTTTATGGAATATTTTGGGTTGTGAAAGATCATTAAGTCCAACCATTTATACAGTAGATTATACTAGTATTTCTCAGGGGTTTTTCCTTTATTAATTCATTCATTTCAGGATGATATTAGCAGATGGTTCTGTTTCACTGGAAGCCCTTCACAAGAGTTGGTCTGTCTTGGGGACTGGGTTAATCCGGTATTTACATTTCCTGACACAGTGTGAAGAGGTTTTCTCAGGGGAGACATCAGAGCACCCGAATGATTGGGAAGCAGCCCTGTGCAATGTAACTGTAATGTGTTCTAGATACTGACCAAGGGAGGCACATACACACACAAGCTTGTTGGTCCACTGCCTATTTGTATATTTATTTACCATGCTGGCTTTTTGTGTATTCCAGAGAAAGACTGGGATCATTCTCCTGCTGCTCAGGCACTGGCCCGAGCAAATAGCATTAATCTTGCAAAGAGCATGGTGAACATTTACACAACCACAGAGAGTGAGTAACGTCTTTTTTCTTTTTGGTTTGCATTTGCTGAAGTTAATATATTATGCTAGTTTTTCATCACCATGCTTCTGTGCATATACCAGGCTAGGAAAATGACATTGTTTCATCATCAAATTAGAGAGTTTATACTGCCTAAAATTAAATTCAGAGCCAGGAAATTACAGCTAGATTGATGGTTTGTTACTTCAGCAAAACCACAAGGGCTTCAAAGGGTTGGCAAGAAGCTTGTGCTCATCTCTCCTGTTCCTGCACAAGGGCTGTGGGATCGGCTGGCAGCCTGTGGATTGATCCGAGGTGCCAGACCTGATGTCAGTGTGTGAGTCGTGCCACAGACTCTTGCTCATGAGGCCTCTCCCCTCACCCAGAGCAGAGCCCAAGGCTGGACTGATGACCCCAGCTGCCAGCTGGGACATATTTTATGGTGATAGTCTGTCCCTGAGAAACGCAGAGAAGCGGAGGAGAAGGCAACAAAGGAAGCAGCAGCCTACCTGAAGAAGCACAAGAAAGCTGAAGCCATGGAAAATGCCTGGGGGAAAGCAGCAGCAATCTCTGTGCCCAAGAAAGCCAGTGATAATCCCCAGAGGGTGAAACCTGGCAAGCCCAAAAAGACAGCCAAGAGCTTGCCTAAAAGGAAAGTGGTGAGGCCAAGGCTGCCAGGTCTGAAATGAGAAGCATGGGAAGGTGATGCCCAAGAAAATGGTAAAAGCCACTTGGAGGCTTTGAGCCAATTTAAATCCAACACTGGTTATGGGAGGGAGGCAGCTTGCTGGCAGGTCACACTGCATAGCCCTGTGGCTGTGCCCACCCCAGCTGGCACCTCATGCCAGGCACTGCCCCATATTTTGGGGCCCAACATGTCACAGGGTGTGTTGGCTCAAAGCTTCAGGCCCCACATGGCTCTTCAGGGATGTGGTCTCCACCAAGACAACCAAGATTTCAGCTTCCCCTTGTCTAGAACCCCAAACCTCACCCTTGGAAACCCTCCTGTAACAAGAGTTAGTTTCATGTTTCCGGTTTAGCAAATAGTCTGTGGAGAGGGCTAGATACAATTATTTATTCAAGGTTGGAAATAAAAATAGTAAATATCAAATGAATGGCAAATCAAGAGTCTCTTGGGCATTTTAAGCACCAAAGAATGCATCATCATGCCTAAAAAGCTAAACAAGTGTGCATATGAACATGCATGTTCATTTACATATATCTTTTCAAAACAAATTCTTCTGAGATGGAGAAAGTCATCTTCAAAAGAGTTATTGGGAGAAGATAAAGATACAAAACATAAGTTTTAGTTAGACATTTAAGCAGTCCAGTAACCATCTTTCTATTGATAGGAAACTTTCTAACTTTTTTCTTTTAGATAATCTAGCTATTATCCACCTCTGTGTCTAGCAGAGTATTTGAGAGGTGTATACAATGGTGAAATTGTGGATATAAATATTTTAGTGCTCTTTTCTACAGGGCAGTGTGCTATGAGATAAAAATGTGAACATGATTGGGTTTTTTGCCAAGGAGGCAGATTTCTGTGGTTTTAGTGTAAGTTCAGTCTACACAAAGCAGACAACATCCACGTCCTTGTGCTGATAAGGGAATTAGATGAGCCACTAGAGGGAGTTCCGCACTCTCACACAGTGAATGAAAGCGTACTGAAAATAGTTCTAGGATGTTAATTAGCAGTTTTTGTCTTGGAGAGGATCAGCTTCAATGACAGGTGACACAGACAGGGCAAGTAGGTAGTACTCCAGTTCCTTCCTCAAGCTTTTCGTCCTTTCTTGTGCCCTTTAACAAAAGTGTGGCTTACAATTTCCTGATTCTGACAAGCTATCTTGATGCCCTTTTTTTTTGTACCTACAGCATACAATAAACCTTATTTGATACCACATCAATTTCTTGAACCTGAAAGAGTCAAAGAACTGAGCACATCCTCTCCTCTCCTGTTGTCTGAGGTGGGTTGATGCCAGAAATGGCCTGAGCATTCCCTGAATGGCAGTTGGTGTCATGAGAAGGTTTCTCCTGGAGACCAAAAGTACTTGCTTTAGAGAATGCCTTGGTTATGTCATGTATAAGTGAGAAATGCCTTAAGAAGAAAGCCCCCAGTAACCCAGAGCAGCTATTCCATCCTGGAGAATGTTGCCCTGTGTGTCAAACCACGCTGTTCTGTGCCCTTTCCCAGAGCCCAGGCAGGGCATGCAGCTATGTTTGGAGGCAGTTAATGATGACGTTCAGTGCTAGTTGGAGGGGATGCCCTGGGGAGGCTCCTTGCACTCTCCTCTGCTCTTCTAACCTGATCTCTGCTTAATGGGACACTGCTGAGCAATTCCTTTTTGTCTCTAGTGTTGCAAACTGCTCATTCGGCAGAGCTTAAAGATGCTTCTTATTTTCTGAGCAGACTGAATCAGACACGGCTTCAGAACTCAGCTTCCAGTTTAACAGGCACAAAAAGACACCCAGCATTGGCAGCCACTCATCCGACATGGCTTCTGTCTCCTCGGTAGGTACTGCACACTGGTGGCTCCTGGACAGGGCTCCTCAGTCAGATGCAGTGATGCTGTATTTAGGCTGGTGTTGATGATGTGACCTTCAGAATATCCTGTTGGTTTCTGCAGGGTACATTACTAAAGGAACAGGGGTGATTAATTACTTGCTCAGGTTAAAGGAGTGAATCCAGATACCACCTCAAAATAGAGACCCATTGAGTCATTGTTGGTCAAATTCCCCTTAAGCGACAGCCCCCACTCCCAGGTGTAGATGCTCTGAATCCTGGCAGTGCAGAAGGTGGGGGATGGGGTTTCTAGGTGAGAAAATGAGGCACACAGCTATTAAGGGACATGTTTGTGGTTCAGGACTGCAGATTGGGTGCCCTCTGCAAGCTCATCCTTTGTCAGCAGGTAAGAGGGAACTTGGAATTGGACAGCAAAAGCAGGCTTTAGAGCTTCAGCTTCTGAGGAAAGCTGAAAAAAGCTGAATGTGTTGAGTGTTTTAAAGATTCCTGAGAGAGTATTTGGGGGGGAGCTGCTTAAAAGTGCTTGAATTTGCTGTGTTACTGTTATGGATTTCTCCAAGGAGTATATTTGAGATTTACAGAATATATGTGAAGCAAAGCTGGTAGGGAGAGGTCATGAATGATAAATATGTTAAAATCTTTGGGGCGCATGAGTTCTTCTAATCTACTCTAATCTAGTCTAATCTAATCTAATCTAATCTAATCTAATCATCTGGGACCTGCAAATTAGTCCAGGTCATGCAGGTGTTCTTGAAAATCTCATTCAGGATTCTCTGCTAGGGTGAGTATCCTGATGGGGTGGTAAATGCAGCTCCAAGGACTGACAGGAGATGTTTAGCAGCTTTTTGGAGGTTATAATAAAATTCAGAACCAAAATAAGTAGAGAATGACAGAGAAGAATTGGGTTAATTACTAGGAAGGCTTTTTGGTAGATGTTCATGACAGTACCACAGAAAAGTGCCAAGAGAGTTAATGATTTGCTTTGTAAACAGTATTAGCATTTATGATATCCTGTCCAGAATCCTGAATGATTGGTGCAAGAGAAAATTCCTTCACCTTTCTGTAGCTAAGCTTTGCTTGGGCTTCATGACTTTTTACCTGTGAAAGACAAAGACTTGAAAAAAGAAGCCCAAGTTGTCTGGGAAAAATGCAGTTTGTTCTGGGAAAGCAAATAACTCTTGGGTGCCTAGCTCCAGATTTTTATCTGGAGAAACCTCATGTTCCAGTGCCTTTGCACAGGCTGTCTCTGGTGGGGCAGTGGCTCTTCAGGGTTGTATTTATTTTATGCTGCTCCTTGTGAGTAAGCAACAAGATAGGAATAGTTCTTCCTACATTTCTAGTCTGTTTTATGAATAGATTCACAATTGTGTGACTATATTTACCTGAAGTAACAAGTTCTTATAATATGGTTCAAGTTCTCTCAATATCTTTCTTTGTTAATGATGAGATTGGGTCAGGATATAAATTATTTGTTCTGTAAGCATAGGGAAGAGATGTGTGGTCCCCCCAGGAATATCTGAGTATATTTCCCAAGGTTTTGGGATTTAGGAGTAAAAAAATTTCTGTATTTCTTGAGCATTCAGTGCTTCTAAGTTCTGGTCTAGGATATCACATCCTTTTGAGACCCTTATTTGGATTCCCCAGCCCTGGCTTGCTTGAGAACAGCCACAGCTGTGAACCATCTCTGTGCCAAGAACACCACACTGCACAAGGACAGAAGCACCAGATTTTTTCTCTGGGAATGCATCTCTCAGACTATTGTCTTTGTCACAAATCAAGTCAGAAAGACTATCATCTTTGTCCAGAATCAAGTCAGACTGTGCCTGTTTCAGTGGTGCTGGCCTTGCTCTTCCCCCTGGCAGGTGAGTGGCAGTGTACTCAGTGTCTACAGCGGCGATTTTGGGAGTGTGGATGCCCAAGGAACCGTGGAATTTGCTCTAGACTATGACGAGAAGAACCGGGAGTTCCAGGTCCATGTGTCCCAGTGCAAGGACTTGGCTGTAGTGGATGAGAAAAAAGGCAGATCCGACCCGTGAGTGATGTTTTAATGCCTTGTGACTTCTACATTGCTGAATTCTGTGTTCTGGAGGATTTTTATTTTCTTTAAATTTAATGGTTTCTTCCTTCCATCCTGCCAGCTTACTAGAGATCTTGGCAATGTGGGGCAATATCCGATTTGTTTTCTAGGTATGTTAAAACCTACCTGCTCCCAGACAAAGCTAGGATGGGTAAGAGGAAAACATCAGTGAAGAAGAGGACAGTGAACCCCATTTACAATGAGGTCTTACGGGTAAGAACAAATACACACTGTGAAAACCTCTGTTGTAGTAGGCACCTCTATCAGGCAGGTCTGGAAAGATCCTGCCTACTTGGCCAGATTCTTTGCTTGCCTCCTGCCAGCACTGCACTATTCTTCCCTGGGGTTTGAGAGGCCTGGGATGTTAAAGGTTCCTTTGCACTGATCCGTGTGGCACCCAAGATTTCGCTGCAAAAATCACACAGGTCTTTGGATTCAATAGGGGCTTGCAGTCAGAGCAAGGGCTGTGTGTCGTCCCCTTCCCTGGCATGCAACCACAAGGCACAGGACTGGTAAGAAGGGTCTACATTATGTGATCATACTTATCAAAGCATAGAGGATTTTATAACAATAAGTTGCTATTAACAGGCCTGTGTTAATAATTCTTGAAAGAATATTGGTTTTCCCCTGTGATAAATGGAATTCCAGGTTTCCCTGTGCTCAGCAGAAAAGCTTTGCCAGGGTAGGAGTATTGCTACAGGACACAGAAAAGAGATGTTCAGACAGAAACCAGTCCATGAATAGTGCATGTGTGAGGTGGGCTTGAGTGTCTCAGAGCTTATACAAGCTTTTGAGTAGTTTATCTCTGTTTGTGAAAGAAACAGAAGAAAAATTTGAACAATCTGACTTCTCTTTCTTCCTCTAGTACAAAATAGAGAAAATGGTATTGCTGATACAAAAATTAAATCTCTCTGTTTGGCACAATGATCCATTGGGACGTAACAGTTTTTTGGGAGAGATTGAAATAGACTTGGCCAGCTGGGACTGGAGCAACAGGAAGCTCAACTGGTACCTGCTGAAGCCCCGGGTAAGTGTGGCTCAGCTGCAGTCTTGCTTTCTAGCCCTGCCCTGAAGACTTAAGGGTGGAAGAAGTCCTTCCTGACTCATCTGAGGTCTTTGGGTATGGTGGAGCAGGACAACCTCAACTGTACCAGGGACCAACCCCTGGACACCTTAGTACAGTTCAGTGTTCAGAACAATTGCCTTCTCATGTCTGTTTTGGTGACTGATCTGTAAGGACACTTTCATAAATGCAACCTGACACTAATCACAGCAACTGTGTCATTCTCTCCACTCACATGAAGACCATCTCTTAAAAACAGCAGAGTACTAGGTGAAGTGCCTTGAGAAGTAAATATTTGGGTGCAACTGTTTGTAAAGCCTGAACAGCTTTCTGCATGCTTCTGGATTCACAGGTCTGATACGAGCTACCTTTTAAGCAAATAGAAGACATTTGTCTTTCAGAACCAAGGGCAGCCTTGTATTCTGAATCCTCAGGCTTTTGCCTTTGAGAGACTGAGTTTGAGAACAAACCCACAGAGAAACGATCTGCTCTAAGAATGGGCTGCTCCAGCCATGGAAAATCAGAGTTTGTCCATTTCTGCTCCTCCACTGAAGTCAAAAGCTGTTTGCCTTGCTGTGTTTCCAAAATCCTCCATTTAGTCAGTCATAAATCTTTCTGTTTCAGAGCCTTTCTGTTGTTAATGGTGTGGATCATCGAGGAGTGATGAGTTTATCCATTAAGTATGTCCCCCCTGGAAGCCTAGGTAAGTGTGGTTCATGCATTAAGGGCTACTGCCCAAGTGCAAACACAGCTTGCAATGCCTCATCCGCTTAGGAGCTGCTTAAAGAGGAATCTCATTAGAGCAAGCTCTTAGAGATCAGCTCAAAGGCAGTGTTTGACAGCACTGCCTGCAACCTACATCTGATTTCCATGTCTGGATTTTATGGGAAAGTGTTGGGGAGACAGGAAGGGTTCAACAACCTCCAACTCATCAGCTATTATGAGCATGTGGGCATTGTAGGGTGCTGTGATGTGGTAGGAGCACCACAGAACCCATGTTATTGTGGGGCAGGCACAAGGTTATTTTGGCTTAGCAGTTCCTTCTCTTTTCCTGTATGATGCAGCACTGGCAGGTGGTGTCAGGAGCCTCTGCAGCTGCAGGAGTGATGGAGCTGGCTGCAGTGCTGAGATCCCCAGGGAGGGGCAATGAGCACACAGGAACCATGTGGGTTCCATGGGTCCCTGGAAAGACCTGTCATTCTGGGAGCTATGGCTCCTGACTGGCATGACAGCTTTTCTCTTCTCATAAATGGCAGGGCCCAAGAATCCTCCCTCTGGTGAAGTTCACATTTGGGTCAAAGACGTCAAGGACCTGCTGCAGTTGCGTCCGTCAGGAGTTGACTCCTTTGTGAAGTGGTGAGTGCATAAGCACGGTGCTGCTCCTGCTGTGTGCCCCCATAAAGGTCTGTGATTCCTGCTTTGTTCTCAGGCTCACCAAGTTGTGCCTCCATACTGGAAAGTCTTTGTGTTGCACTGGGTGAATTGTAGGTGAATTGCCCTTGTTATTCACCTGTGGCCAAACTAGGAAAATCCTTGCTGTGATAAAGCTCTTGGTCAATGTTCAATGCTTCATGCTGTGTGTTTTCTCCTCTCAAAGCTATGTGCTTCCAGACACCAGTAAGAAGAGCTACCAAAAGACCCGAGTCATAAAGAGAGACACAAACCCTGTTTTCAATCACACCATTGTGTATGATGGCTTTCATACAGAGGATCTGAAGGATGCCTGTGTTGAACTCACTGTGTGGGATCATGAAAAGCTTACCAACCATTTCCTTGGAGGAATCAGGCTAGGCCTTGGGACGGGTGAATATTTTCCTTTATAATTCAATACTGTTACCATAGTGCTGAGCCACAAGGTAAAGTGGGAAGTTACAGAGTATTTTCCTGTTGGAAAGAAACCAGGATGGGGTGTCTCAGTAACTGGTACCTGCACTATGTCTTGGATGGAGAGGGCCCTGGTACCATGGTAACAACCCTCTGTTCCCACATTTTCTGCCAACATCAGATCTGAGGTCTGGCAAAACTCAAGAATTTCCTTGGGTGCCTCAGAGAGTTTTCCTGCTGTTATAGAAAAGTGGGCTGCATGACAAACCAACATTATACTGGTGCTCCTCCCAAGCAAGAGTGCTCAGGGATGGACTGGAATTTCACAAGGGACAGCACCACCTGGTGACTGTCCAGCCTTGAAGTGCTCTCTGAGAGGTTTCACAATGTTGCAATCAAGGATAAGTGTTCCTTGGGTGACAAAGCTCCTGGTAGCTGGAATGTCTGCCTTGCGGGTGTACTGTAGCAATTGGATTTGCCTGTATGTTCTCTGTTTCCCACCTCTAATGTCACCAGGTGGGTTGTGAACTCTCCAAAGGGACATACCAAACCCAAGATTAGCTGTTATCTAACTTTAGACTTCTCTCTCATTGACAAGTAATTGGCACCTAAAAAATTTGGTTGAATTGAATCTCTGCTATGGTATATTTGATTCCTATAGAAATTAAACAAGAGAATTTTGACGAATACTCCATGTTGTCCACAAGAAAATCTTTTAAGGGGAAAACCAGACCTTTAAGACCTTCTTTACCATTCAAAAAGATGCAGGAAGGGCTTGAGCCCAATATTGCTTTCCTTGGCAGGTTATGTTTAGGGTTCTTGCATTTCATGGGTTTTGCAGTGACTTCATTCTGAACTCTGGTGTAGAATGGGCATTTTTCAGGATAACAGGAGGTGCTCAGGGTGCAGGGTGCTGAGGGGGAGTCAGCAGTTTTTATGTTAAGACATTGCCTGCAGCAGTTACATCCCATTGAGTATTTTTGCATGGAGTGGGAACTCTTTGTGTAGCTCCCTAAGTTTTCTCATTCTTTTCAGGTTTGAGCTATGGCATCTCTGTGGACTGGATGGACTCCACACAGGAGGAGGTGGCCTTTTGGCAGGAGATGATGTTGGCTGCCAATGAATGGATCGAAGGATTGCTGCCATTGCGCTCACTGGCAGGGAGGAAAAAACTGAAATAACCCATTGTTGGTGCCATAGAAATGCCCAGTGTGTTCATTAGAATTAAGAAACTTCCTGCAGTTGGGAGAAAGAGACCATCCACAGGGCTGTGTCAGGGTAATGAGGCAATGAATGGGCATCACCTTGGAGATGTTAAGTACTAATCCACTCACGGAGAACATGGAAGATGCCAAACTGATGCTGATTTTTCAAACATGATTTTGACCAAGAAAAAACTTAATTTGCCTTTTTGTTTAATCATTTATGTATTCAGTATATTTGAATTCCATTAAGCTCTGGGAACATTGGCAGAAGGAAAAGGAGATATGAATACTTTTTTTTCATGTTTCATGTGCCATTTTTCTTCTGTACAGAGATGTAGTTATACTGAAGCAGTAGCATGGTATTATTCATACTCCTTGCAAGGGGTACACTTTGTAGTTGGTGTACAATTGCTCCAAGTCACCAGCATAGTTTCAGAATGGGAGCTTTGCATTTGTCATCCTCTTTAATGTGAGGAAAATTGAGTTCCAAGGTGCATCTAAAGGAAGAGAGGACTAATTGCAGCAGAAAATAAAGAAATCTGAGGAGGATGACTGTGGAGTGCCCCCGCCCAAAGAGGCGGGGATTTTATTTTAGGCAATGTTAAAGTGAGAGGCGTGGCTTTAAGTCCCAAGAAGACTGGATTCTACCCCTCTGCCTTGGGGGATGTGCCCAATAAGCCCAGGAAAAGTTGTTCCACCACAAAATCCCTCGTGGGGTGCCAGCCCAAGGTGTTCTGCCCTTCTCGTGTCGTGATTTGTTGTATTCTGCTGCATTAACCCCTCTTATTGTACCCCTATTGGTTTGTGTCCCTGGGGCTTCTCCCTTGCTGTGTCCCTGTTAGACCCAGACCCTAAACCCCACCCTGGCTTGACCCCATAAAACCCACTACCTTGCCTCTGTTCAGGGTTCTCCATCTCTGGATTATGCTGGGTTAATTCCTATGTTGGTGATGCCCTAATAAATTGATTCCCGAGTTTAACTAAATGGAGACCCATCGGTGGCTACACCTCCCTGGACATGATACTGTTGCAACACGTGATGCAACAGATGACAATGAGGCATTTGATATATTAATTTCTTTCTGCTTTAATCTGAAAGACTGCAGGGATGCTCTTAGAGATAGTGGAACTTTGCAAGCAGGGGCTGTTTTCCTGACTTTCCCACAGGCTTCCTCAGTGACCTCGGGCAAGCTTGTTTGTGAAAGGAGAGTTTGAATGCAATATAAACTAAAATGTTTGCCCAAATGTAGAATATGGTTACACTGCTAATGGGACTAATCACACTTTTGCAATGCCTTGTTTGCAAAACATTTCAACATGAACTAATGAGATAGGAGACAGTCTCATGTTAGCCTGGCATCAGGGGTCAGGGATGAAAGGTCAAAACCACACTAGAATGCAGGAGATACTAGGAGCTGGTGGGAGAGGTAAGTAGGAAGTGAGTGAATGTGAAGGGAGTGCGGAGCTAGTTTCTTGAGGATCTCCTGCCTCTGCTTCCCCTGATGGCCCTCTAGTCTTCCTTTCACCTGATGCTTGGTAGTGAGTGTCTGCAGCTGGAATTTCCCTTTTGCCAATAGTTTGCAAAAAAACTTTGCATCTGACACATTAACCATAGTGGAGTGGTGTTGTGAATACATTTTGAATTGCAGCTTTGTAATTTCTATTTTGGATGTACATATTGTGATTAAATAGCATGTTTTTCTTTAGTCATCAGTTGGTTATCTTCTGCCTATTTTCATCACATTCTAAATAACAAAAAAGCAAGCAAAAGAGGTGTTAAATTTTGTTGTGTCAAAATGAAACATTTTTGCGAAAGGGCAAGGGAAATGTCATTAAGAAATAATTTTTATAACTATCTGACTTTATATTTTGGCTCTCTGATTATTTTGATATTCTTCTTCAGTGGATTGATTTTATTTAACTCAAGCCTACTGTGAATTTTCAGCATAGCAAAGATAGTTGTAAATAAATTAATGGAAAAATGTACACTTTCCTTTAACAAGTAACAAGACTTTTTCTTTAAATGGAAACATTTGGGAGATAATCAGCAGCTTTCATGAGAAAAAATAAAGAATTAAAGTGGTTTTGCAGTTGGAAAAAGTACTTGGAAATGCACTGAACACAGTAATAAAAGCACTAGGAGAGAGTCCATAGAGCAACGGAATTAAACAATGACTGTCTAATGAAGGAGCTGATACATCTGTAATGTCAGCCCGAAAATACTTTGTAGGGGGTCCAGCCTGACATGTTTTATTTACCAAGATTTGGTCATTTATTACCTTTGTGGGATAAAATAACACTAATGGGCCTAACTTGAGAGTTTAAAAAAATATTATCTTTACATTAGGTGCTGAACATGTGAATATTTATACAAATGTATAACTTACCTACTGCAAGGAGCCCTGGTCGCAGAGGTGGGTGGTGCCTTGTTGCAGTGAAGTTACCCATGGAACTGCTGCTTTCCTCCTGGGTGCTGCCCTGTCCACAGGGATAAGGATATTCCTGCAGGCAGACTTTCTGCTGTGGCTGGGAAAGTGTTTGGTAATGCTAGGGGCTCTGTCTCAGGTCCAGGTCTCTTCCTGGTGGGTTCAGCTGATTTCTCTCGATCATGAAAACAGAATTAACCCACCTCCTCCTCCTCATGCACCATTAGTGCATGGCAATGTTGCCAAAAGTGCTGTTTGCATCAATGGAACTGGAAATGGTTGTGTTGGTGTTTCAAAAAAATTAACATCTATTTCATTGGTGGTGCCAGTAAGGGGAGAAAAAGGGGGTCAGTGGGCCAGTCATCCCAGCAGAGTCACTTTTATGAACTTGGCATTAGACATTGTGAGACTGTTTTTGTATTCAGATTCCATTGAGGATTTTTTATTAATCTTTTGCTGGCTTGTTTATTTAAATTAAGCCCTGATTAACTTAAGAAGCTTTCTTTGGCATTTAATAGTTTATCAAAGTAAAAGATTACTCTGCCAAACCCCACACATTTTTGTCACACAGCTGATTCTGAGGCAGTATGCCGCTGCGACAGAGGGGCCGGAGCATCGCGACTTCTCTAGAGAAGCTGCCCTGAGAAGGGCTGGGCTGAAGAGCGTGTGTGCGACTTCGGGCAGGCGAGTGATTCCAGCTCGGCTCAGCAGCGGCGGGCAGGCAACAGGGGAAGAAGGGACGAGAAAGCTGGTCTAGCGTTCCGCCGAGCACAAACCTTTATTCAGGCAGAGCTTTGGCGAAGGGTGCCAGCAACAGCTAATCTCCCGAACAGGGGAAAACCCGGGATATATATAGGGGAGGAGAGGGGCTGGGGGAGCCCGAGATACCTGTATCGGGGTGGGACAGCAGGGGGGAACACCAATGGGGCACAACAGTTTAACATAACTAACTCAAAGATCCCTAGGAGTGAGACATTTTCTCTCTCTTACAGAGAAGTATCTTGTCTCCAGGGGAGAGCCAGGATCGCGGACTTGGCGGGCTCCTCCGCACCCACAGCAGTAAAATTTGCTATGCTCTGTGTTTCACTTACTGCGCAGAAAGCACTTTATCATAAAATGCTTTAAGATACATTTCTTGCCAGTGTCCTGTGCAGAAGCAGAGTATTTTGTGGGTATAAGGTTAATGGCCTGTTTGCATGTAGTTTATGATGCTGACATTTGTTATCTGTGAATGCTGAACCTAACAGACTCTGGCCTGTGAGTGTGTGCTGATGGCAACAGGAGTGGGGTTGTAACTGGTGAAAAAAAAAAAGAAAAAACAAATTTAAAGTTTTCTGACTGTATTTACTAGTTCTTTGTAGAATGGGTCAAGCAAAGCTACATGAAAAGGTGAGACTTTGTGCTGCCAGTGAATGTGGTTTGTGTGTCTCGATTCCCTGCACACAAAGGTACCGGTGCCAGCGCTGCAGTGGGAGCTGACTGTGACCCCTGGGCTCTTGCTGGACACAGGAGTCATCCCAGGGACTTACTGGGCCCAGGGAAAGCTGGCTGACAGCCTGGAACCCTCAGGCATCATCCTTTTAATATCAAACACAAACCTCATCACCTACACTAGAGCTGGCAGCTGCTTTCCATGAGGCTTCTGCATTTATGAGTCAATGTACTTTCTTCCAGGTTATGTCTGATTTATATAACTTTTTCTTGGAAATCTTTCAGTGTTAAAAAAAAAGGAGAAAAAGCAAAATTCTAGAAAGCATTTCTGCTTCATCAGGCAAATCTAATGTGTGGCCTATGGCCATTCAAAGTTATTCATATTAAAGGTATTAGAAACTGTTGAAAATAGTTTAGAAGCTAACTAAAGAATAGAAAGAAAGGATTATTGAATCTTGAATGAGTGTTTCAGCAGAGATGGAAAGAAGTGGCTGAATTAATTATCCATTACTAAATAATTGCCTAGCTTTATCCTTCACCAAGACAGGGAAAAAATTGAAGTACTGTAGAGATTTGGAGAAAAAAAATATGCTGGCTAAATAAACCCTCATAATAACGTGATGTGTTGAAATTAAAAATGCTGCATTTTTGCAGGCTTGTTAAGTCAAAAATGTATCAAATAGACTGGTGTATCAAAAGCTGAATAAATGCATTTCTGATCCTGATAACTAAGCATGAGTGTATTCAGCACCAGGTTTGATTATTTGTTTTAGTTTTCTGGTTTGTACTTAAAGATTTTTCATGACTCAGTCCTTTTTCTTTTCCACCTGCTTACTTTGCACCCCTCAGGTGTTAGAGGGGATGCTTCTGAGTGCTGTCACAGATGATGTCAGCAGAAATTGGGAAGCTCATTGTGAAGGCCCATGCAAATGGGCACAGGGCACAGATGTGTAAGGTACATGTTCCTGGAGCTCCCAACAGCATCACTGCTGCACAAGATCCACTGACCACTGGAGAGCCGTTGAAACAGAAATCCCTTCCCATGAGGTCAGCCAGGAGCCGCTGCTGCTTCCCAGAGGATGCATTTTTGGGAGGTTCCTGGTACTGCCAGGAGGAGCAGCTCTTCCAGGGTGAAGTTTGTCAGGACACAGGAGACTCAGAGTGTTTTGGAGAGACAGCTCCTGGCCTGTCCTGAGCAGGAGATGGCTGATTTGGAGCAATGAGGTTTGAGCAACAGTGGGCAACTCCAGAGTGACCATTCCCACACTTTTCGGGTGTTTGCCATTTTCACCCACACTTCTGAACAGGTTGGTTGCTTGGTTGCTTGGTTGAAGATGCAAAAACTGAACATCAGTCTCCAGAAGACCCATGGAGAAATTACTGTAAATGGTTTATGTGAGATCTGAGAGAAAGATGGGAATGATGGAGAGCTAGATAGGTCTCCTTCAGGAGCCCTGCAGGAGTCTGGCAGCCCCAAATGTAGCTCCTTTTTGGTTTGCATTAATTTCCCATTCACTCATCTTAAATGCTTGTCTCAGGTACTAAAGTCTGAATGAAGGGTGTAGCTGTTAGCAGGCAGCAGCATCCTAGAAGAAGTGGAAAAACACAAACAGGAGCAGGGGCTGAGCTTGCCAGGTTTGCTGGTCTCAGATTCATAGTCAAGGGCTCCAGTAAGTATTCCAGCTGGAAAGGGGCTGATGTACAGTTGGTGCCCTGCAAGTGACATGAAATATGTGCTTGTGTCAGTAGGCAGATATTTGCTTTTTAAAATCTTGTAAAATCATATTATGGTTGAACTTGTCTCTGGGCTGTTCAGCCTCTGTTGTGGACCCAAACTAGCTAAACGAGCCCTGCTTTAGAAAGGAAGGAATCCTGTACATGAAGGCATTTCTGCTGTTTAGTGAATTACTTGGCATCCTGTATATTACAAAATTGAAACTATATAACACCACAGAGCCACAAGTCCTACCCCCTGCAGCACCTTAAAGACCCCCACAACTAATCCTCAACAGGCATGGCAGCTTGTGATGGAAAGGTGATGGGCAGAGTGACTGCAAGTGTGTTTTGCCTTTTCTCTACAGACTAGCCTGTGCAGCTGATAAACTTGAGACGCTACCAGCAGGAACAGAAGTCAGATTTCATGCATCTAACAACCCATAATACCATTATAGTAGTTGTTAACAATCCAAAGTAGCTCTTGTAAGCAAGCAGTCTGAACTCTGGACTCAGAGGGGAAGCTAGGGAGCTGTTTTCTGGCAATATAAGTAGCTCAGACACCCACTTTATAGCAAGAAAAATCACAATAACCTCTTTCCCTTCCCTCCTCTCTCTTTCGCACTCACCATTATTAATTTATCCTGATTGTAATGGCTTCTATTTGCTCTTAGCAGATCCTGTTCCCTTCCTGGGAAGAACAGCTACAAGGACATAATATTCCCCGTGGAGGATCTGTGCTAGGATTCAGGCAGACTCAGACAGATATAATGATCTCTTGATGGGAGGCCCCCTTTTTGATCAGCCTGTGCATGACCATTTTAATGTGATGGTAATCTGAAATAAGACACCAGGAGCTGCATCTGGAGTGAGCCCTCTGCATGGTAAGGAGCTGCTGTTTAATTTATTGTCACAGAGAAATGCTTTGCAAATGTTTTATGTCTCTTCAAAAAGCCCAGCTGACTTGTTTGTGTGTGCCTGCTGTTGGGGCTAGAGGCTGTGTCATGAGTGCTGAGTGGCACCAGAGGGTGGCTCTGCTACTTGCAGGGATGTGGGGACAACCTCATCCTCTGTACACATCCACCAAAGTGGGTCACACTGTATGAGAGTTTAATCTTCCCTGTCCATTCTGGCTGCAAAGCAAATGCTAACACTGCCCTGGAGCACTGCTTCTGACTCAGGAGGGTTCTCTGGTTATTTCTGAAGTTTCTCTGCATTAGTCTCTCTCACATTTTCACACTGTCATGGATCCTGGCTGGCTTTGCAGCCCTATCTCTGTGCCATTGTTAAGCTCTTTGT